AGCTCAACCAACACTCGCACATCCATAACGAGGACAAGCCGTTTATGTGCGAACAGTGCGGCAAAACATTCCGATCGAAAAGCTATTTGGAGCGACACTATCGGACACATTCGGGCGTCAAACCGTATAAATGCGAATATTGCGGCAAACTGTTGGCCGATAAAACCGGGTTTACGGCACACATACGCAGCCATATCGGCGAACGGCCGTTCATGTGCGACATTTGCGGCAAAAAGTATACCATTAAACGTCATCTGACATCCCATATGATCATCCATTCGGATGTCAGGCCGTTCAAGTGCGACGATTGCGGTAAGACATTCCGGTCGCGGACCAACTTCCGGATGCATAAAGATTCGCATTTGGGTCTCAAACGATGGCAATGCAAATACTGTGACCGACAGTTCCTGTCCCAGGGAAATATGGCCAAACATGTCCGCCGACATATCGGCGATCGTAAACACAAATGTCTGGTCTGTGGCAAAGCATTTATCGAAAAACAAGAACTGAAGAATCACTCGAAAATGCATTCATCGTTGACTTCGCTGACCGATTGTCAGCAGTCGTCGTCGTCGCCGCTTAAGACAATCATCGATACCACTAATGATAGTCAGTTGAATGAAACAAGAAATCAGATGCAACTGTTGTCCGAAGGAGTAGATGGACGACAACGACGACGACTGGATGTTATTGTTGTGTCCACTATTGATAGTCCGAACAGTAATAATAATAATAATAATAACGAACTGAACGGACTGTCTGTTGTGACTTCCAGTGGTAGTAGTGGTGATCAGTCGTCGTCGTCGTCATCGTCATCATCAGCAGCAGCTCTGATAACAATGTCTTCATCGCCGATAACTATCACCGCAGTTCCCACACAGCAGCAGTTGACAACAATTACCGGTAATCATCATATGTTGACTATCGGTGGTAATGAAAATCATCAGACATTTGCCGACATTAATGATATCGCAAATACTTCGTCGACGACGACATCTATTAATAATGTCGTCAGCGATACCTCCTCTCAGCTATCGTTTTGTTGCGATTTCGGTGATAATCAACAACAACTAAATGATGACAACTGTGACAACAATAGCTGTTGCGATGATAATAATAATAATTATTATACTACTACTACTAATAATAATACAAATACCGATTCTTCATCATCGACAGTACATCCGGCGACATATGGTTTACCGACCAATACTACTAGTGATGGGACCACCAATACATCCTCCTCTTCTGCACCAAACAATAATGTTGTTATATATGATCATAATCTTCATAGTCTTCTTCAACATCATCATCAGCAACAAAGCTATAGTCTTCAACACCAACACCAACAACAACAACCACAACAACAGACAATCCATTGTAGTCTCTGTTCGGTTGTCTTTCAGACACTAAATAATTTAAGACAACATTTAATTGATTTTCATAGAGTCGAGTCTGAAAAAGTTATAGCAATGATGTATTGATTTTTTTTGTTTGTTTGTTGTATTTAATTATATAATTTAAATATATATATATAAAAAAATTAATTTTTACATAAATTTAAATATATATATATATATATAAATAGTTATCAATTATCGGGTAATTATTAAAAAAAATAAATTATTGGGTGATCTATATAATGTATTTTATATATACTGTATATAATATAATAATTTTCAATATACTGTATAATGCAATATATATATAAATATAAAATAAATTTAATTTATATGATTTTATCAAACTTTGTTTAAATAATTTAATATTTTTAATTATTATTAGTTTTGTTGTTTAATATAAATATAAATATATATATATATAAAGTTTTAATCAATATTTTTAGTCAAAAAAATTAATATTGATTAAAATTAATAAACCACCATGGTAAAATTTAAAACGTATTTTTATGTATTACTTGATGGCGCGTCGGGAGTCTTATGATAATAAAATTATATTGAATTAAAAATATTTGTAAAATTTAAAATATTTATAAAATTTATTAATAATAATAACAAAAAATTGCTTTTAGCAATCATATTTGTATTATTAATAATAAGCATAATTTAATTAATATATATATATAAATTTAATTTAATATATTTTATAATAACATTTCATTTATATATATGATATAATAATAATAGCAATAAAACTTAAATCTAAAATCTAAATGTTATTTTGAAAAAATAAATAAATATTTTTTTATATATTAAAAAATATTTCTTATTTTTCCAAATAAATTCTGATTAAAAAAAATTATTTTAATTTTTTTTTTGGTAACAAAATTCCATGAAATACATCATTCATGAGAAATACATTAATAATAATAATAATAATAATAATAAAATTCACAATAATTTCCATTGCACTGAATGTGTAATAAATTTATAATAATAATAATAATAAGTGAATGATTTTTAAATTATTTATTATAGTCATAGTAGCCATAGTATAGTAAACTATTTATATTTTAATATTTTAATATTTAATACATACTCATTCATATTTTATGAAATAAATTTGATATATTTTTTAATAATAATAACATAATATTCATAACAACACATTTCTATTTAATATATATATATATATATATATATATATATATATATATATATATATATATATATATATATATACCTGTATTTCTATTGATATATAATACTGTAATAATTATAATAATAATAATAATATTAACAAATGATAGAAAACTATGGGATAAAATAAATTAATAAAAATAATGAACAAAAAAGCTAATAAACTTGTGATTTAATTTTTTTTTTAATTATTATTATTATTATTACTATTAACTGTATTATATAATAGTATATCTATTATTGGTATTAGTTAATGGTATTATTATAAAAATATATTATATAAATAAAAATTATATATTTCAAATAGATTATATATTTATTATATATATATATTGTATTGTAAATTATAATATATTTGTATATACAGTATATATAAATTTATAGAAAATCTACAGTAAAAAAAAATTTTGACATTAAATTTTAAATAAACTCATTTTGAATCTACAATAAATGTGATTTTACTTTAACTATATAAATAATATTAGTAAATTTAAAAAAATAATAATTTAATATATAATAATTTTATAATCTAGAAAATTTATTTAACAACAATAATAATAATATTACTAATTTTTCTAACTGTTATTAGACATAGAAAATTTAAAAGTAACTTTTTAAAAGTGTTTAGTAATTATTTTTATTTTACTAAATAAATAAAAAAAAGTTTGCTCAAGATAAAATAATTAATAAACACTATAAGAAAAAAAAGTTTATATTATTTAAAATAATTATTATTAGTATTATTTGGGCGAAAAACTAAATATATATAAAAACATCATTAATTACATTCCAACCTAATTATAGGTTCATTAACTAATATATCATTAGATTAAATGTATTATATCTCTCTCTCTCTCTCTCTCTCTCTCTCTCTCTCTCTATATATATATATATATATATATATATATATATATATATATATATATAATCTTTCTAATTGTCAAATGTTAGTTAATTGCACACACTGTGTGTGTGTGTGTTTGTTTGTGATTGATTGATTAATTTGATCAGGGTGACCAAATACACACACAAACAAACAAACAAAAATAATTACAATTATTTCAAACAAACCAAACAAATATATATACAGTATATATATGTAATTATTTTAGTTTTATAATATAAAACTTATAAAAAAATTGAAATTAAAAAATATAATTTTAATCATGGTAATTTTTATTGAATATAGATATATTAATTAAATTCAAAAATTAGTTACGCTATTATGGGGTTATTATATTATACTCTATCTATACTGAGCACAGGTAGCTAACAGATAGATAGATAGATAAATAGAGCTGTATTTGATGGCATATCCTACTATACAATAATATATATTACTATTATATAACATTTATAAACTGTGTATAATTGATAAATAAAAAAAAATCTATTAAAATGTTTAATCATATAAAATATTATTATTATTATTAATAACAATTTGAACGGAAAAAAATATTTTAGGAATTTTTGTGTAGAATTTATTTTCATGTAATTTATAATAAAACCAGTTAAGAATGCTAGAAAGCATTATTAGAAAAAAAACTTGAATATCATAAATATGTTGAAACCAAATAGTTGGTATAATTATATAGTATTAATTTATATAGTAACAAAAATAAAAAACTGGTAAAATATACATAATTTAAATAATGTTATGTAGGTTATCAAATGACTCGGTATGACAAAATAAACTCAACCATAGTCATGTAGGGTATCAAATGACTCGGAATGACAAAATAAACTCAACCATAGTCATGTAGGGTATCAAATGACTCGGAATGACAAAATAAACTCAACTATAGTTATGTATGGTATCAAATGATTCGGTATGACAAAATAAACAACCATAGTCATGTAGGGTATCAAATGACTCGGAATGACAAACAAAACTCAACTATAGTCATGTAGGGTATAAAATGACTCGGTATGACAAAATAAACTCAACCATAGTCATGTAGGGTATCAAATGACTCGGTATGACAAAATAAACAACCATAGTCATGTAGGGTATCAAATGACTCGGTATGACAAAACAAACTCAACCATAGTCATGTAGGGTATCAAATTACTCTGTATGACAAAATAAACTCAACTCTAGTCATGTAGAGTATCAGATGATTAATATAATGAAATAAACAAATATAATCATGTTTGGTATTAAATGATTTAGTATAACAAAATAAACAGTTAAAATCATACTTTTGCTGCCATTTTTTGAAAAAATAATATAATTTTGATCTATTATATCTTATTTTTAATACTATATACAATTCTAAGCGCTAAAATTTACCTTAATTTTTTATACGTCACCATTTTTTTAAAAAAAATAATTTTAATTTATTATATCTTATTTTTGATGCTCTATACAATTCTAAACGTTAAAATTTTTACCTAAATTTTTTTACTTTGGCCGCCATTTTTAAAAAAATAAAAATAATTTTAATTTATTATATCTTATTTTTGATGCTCTATACAATTCTAAACGTTAAAATTTTTACCTAAATTTTTTTTTTATTTTGGCCGCCATTTTCTCTATGTTCCTGAAGAGATATCAAAATTTTAATGCATATTTTTATGCTTGCTTTTGATGCTCTATTCAAATTTATACTTAAAATATTTTTTCTTAAAATTTTCTTTACTTTGGCCGCCATTTTCTATATGATCCCGAAGAGATATCAAAATTTTAATGCAACTTTTCAATACATTATTAGTAGTCCTCTAACCGAATCTGAAGTCAGAATTTCAAAATTCGCAAAAAAATTGCTACACACACACACACACACACACACACAAAAAAGGCTCGTATAGATTTCAGAAAACAAAACTTTTCAAGTTTTTTTTGAATATATATATTTTTCTATAACTGTTATAAAGTTATATAAACATACAATAAAAAAATTTCTATATATATATATATATATGATATCTATTACTTATTTTTTTTATAAAATAAACTGTATTTATTCAATAATAACTACTATTACCAAAAAAATCTACAAAATTTAATTAAGTTACTCACTCACATAAAAACTACAAATAAAAATAAATAAATATTTCAAATATTTATTGTATTTACAAAAAAATAAAATAATATTAATCAACAATTTTTTCTCTCTGTATAGTTATTTTTTTTTGTATAGATATATATATATATACTATTGATATACACTAAATGCTAATTTTTTTCAAAGATATTAAATAAAATCTCAGCAAAAAATAAGTTTTTAAACAATTTTAACTTTAATTTAAATTTTTTGCAATTAAATGAATAAATTAGTCAATTATTTTGTTAACTTTATTATTATAGGATTGAAATCAATTTGTCAGCAAATTTAGTTTTTTTTTTAAATAAAATAAATAATTCACTATAAATTTTTTATCTTCAATAACACATTTCAGCAAAAAAAATATATAACTAAATAAATAATTTTTTATTTTTTAAAAGTTTTTCTATTACTTTAACTGTAATGTTATATATACTGTATATAAAAATAAATTTATACTTGAAAATAAAAATTTAAATATATATATCATTTAAGCGTTTAGGTGATATGTTGCAATTATTTTAATTTTAATTTTTATTTTATTTTATTTTTTGAATTTGATTATAATTTTCAAAATTAAATACCCGGTAAACTTTATATTTAATTTATTTTATATATATATATATATATATACTGTATATAACTGTATATTGAAAATACATGAATTGAATAATAATAAAAAAAATAATTTATGTAAGAATTCATAGTGAGTTGTATTTTAATAAATTATTTTATTTTCCTAAAACAAAATTAAAACTATTGAATAATATATATATTATAATATATATTATTGAATAATAGTTGTTATTTTGTGTGTTAAACAGTAGGTGTTTTTTCAGGTAAAAATCAATTCAATTACTTATATATAATATATATTAAATAAATATATTTTTAGACTAATAAAAAAATATATATCAAAGTTTTTTTTTTAAAAAATTTTTGTATGTATTGTATAAAAATAAATTATTAATAAACTTTATAGATATTGATAGATTAAATTCAAAACAATTTTTTTCATAACTATTATTATCTATTTGTATAATTTATTTATAACTTCTATAAATTATAATTATATATTCAATAATTTAAGTTAATTATTGTATTTAGAAATTCAATTCATTGTTAAAATTGAATTAAAATAAATATTCAGTAGAAAAATGTCTTTAAATATTATTAAAAATAGATTATTATAACAAAAATGAATAATAAATTTTGTATTTTAATAATATATATATATAACTAGAAAATAAAATTTATATTTATAAAACATATTTACTATGAAAGTGTGTAACAAAAAAAATAAAAAATAAATATAATTTATAAATAAAAATTAGTTTTCTAAGTATAAGCTAAATAATTGATTCAACTAATCAATAATAAAAATTTTTGTAAAAAGATTTTATGAATTAAACTTTTAACGAAATAATATTTTATAACATTTTTATTTATAATAAAAAATAAATATATAATAAATCATAAATTATATATTGAAAATCTAATTTAAAAATTTTGTTTATACTAAAAATATGTAACTAAAATACTAAACTACTACATGATTTAGATTTTAAAATATTTTTTTTTTATAAAACAGTTTAATATATACATACTGTATATTTTTAAAATCATCAATAATATAGACTAATATATTAAATATTATGTTATGAATATTATATTATAAATATTATGTAATAAATATTATGATATAGTAAATATGCAACTTAATAATGTAAATTTATTTTCATTGATATATAGTTTACAATATATATAATATATAAATCAAATACATATATATATATATATATATATATATATATATATATATATATACAGTATATATATAGACTTTATATTTTATATTACAAAATTTGTTATTTAACTTTTTTTAAACAAAAATACACTGTAAATCAAATAATCATTTAATATTAATTGTATTTTATATTAATATTTTTTGTAATTATACAGTAATATATATATATATATATATATATATATATATATATACTTTTAAAATACAATTAATATTAAATGATTATTTGATTTATAGTGTATATATTTTCAATGAATTTTTATTACAAAAAAATAAAAATAAATGTAATATAAAATATAAAGTCTATTTAATATGATTTTAAAAGATTTACATATATTGTAAATATACAAATTAGCTTATAAGTTTTAATTTTTTTAATGATTTAATTATAATAATAATAAAATGTTTTTACTAATTGCTAAAAACTTTTCAATGAATCATCAATAAGTTAATAGTATTATATTTTTTGTTGTTGAAAAAAACATATTAAATATATATTTTTACATACATAATACATACATTATATAATTTTTTATATTAATTAAATATAACATTTTATATAAAAGTGCATTACATATATATTTATATATATATATATCATATATGGCTATATTAATAGATTTTTTTTATAGTGTTAAATATACTCTCAAAATTAAAATAGATGATTAACAGTGTATTATTATTATTATTATTATTAATATATTAATATTATTAAACAAAATGTGTGGTAATTTTATTAAAATACCAAAAATATAATACCTATATATATATATAAATTAAATGGACATTTAGGGTGGGATATATATATATCATTCATTGAATTGAAAAATGCATTTACAATACATAATATAATATATATATATATATATATATATATATATATATATATATATATATATATATATATATATATTAATATCTTTATATTCATTAGACTAAATAATATTAATAATACTAAAAAAAATTGTTAATAATTTTTTTTATTGTTATTAATAGATACACTACAATGAATACTATACTATACTATACTATAATATAATATAATATAAAAAATAATAATAATTAAATTACTAATAATGATGCTAATACTAATTTATATTGATTAATATTTTTTTACATTAAATAGTTTTTATTTAGTTTAATATATTAAAATAAATAAATAAATAAATTATTAACTCCAGAAAAACAAATGTTATAAACTTTTTATTTAATATAAATTTATTATTATTTAAAATTTATCAAAAAAAAACTTATTTACAAAATAAATTTCAAAATAAATTGATTTTTTAATTTTGTTTTTTGTTGTTGTAAAATTAAATTTATTATTAGTAGTAATAATTATGTAAAATAAAATAAACTGATATTTAATAAACTAATAAAAATATTTATATAAATTATTATTATTATTATTAAAACGTCATATTAATCATTATCAAAACATTTATTAATTAGCTCATTAGTATACATGTAAATAAAATAAATCTAAAATATTATTTATAGATTTAATACAAAAATATGATAATATTGTTTGTTATTGTTGAAAATTTTGTTGAAAATTTTGTTGAAAATTTTTTATTGAAAATTACTGATAATATTTTCAAAAATTTTGAATGATAATAATAATAATATTTTTTTATTATATAATTATAAACTATATTGTATTTATCTATTTTTTTAACAACAAAAAATAAAAGTAATTAAACTTCCAGTATAATTATTTATATAAAAAAAAATTTATTATTATTATATTTAATAAAACTAGAAATATTTAAATTTTTCTATATTTATACATATTTTACAAATTTTTTTAATGAAAAAAATAACATAACTATTATTATTATTATTATCATAATCATCATCATCATCATAATGTATTGTATTGTATTTTTTAATTAAATATAGTTTTTATTATAATTATTAAAAAATAGTATCATTAATAAAAAAAACTACTAAAAAAATTAAATACTAATAAAAATGTAGTAACAATGAAAAAAAACTATATATTAATTAAAAAAAAATTATAGTTTATTTGAAAACATTTTATGATTTAAAAAAAAAAATATTATATATATATATATATATACAGTATATTCTGTATATATATATAATCATAAACGCAGACTCCTATACTCTATGGGTGAATACGTGCGCCAATCATACAGTATATATACCGTATATAATACAATAATAATAAATGTCTAAACCGTAAGACAACTTTCCCCAAACACTTACAGTACATACACACACACACACACACACACACTCACACACTTGTAGTGACCTTTTATCTCTACCACTCCTAACTATATCTCTCTCTCTCAAATAAATTTTATTGAAAAACTTTTTTTTGACACACACTTATCATTCATCGGTATAGTAGTTATTGTTAAACAATCACTACTACTACTACTACTACTACTACTACTACTACTACTACTACTACTACTAGTATCGGCACTTCAAACAAATAAAATAAATAATAGTTATATTATATAACTTGAAATTTTTGTGGATATATAATATATTTATATAAATAAATAATTTTAAACTAAATTTTTTTGTGTGTGCAAATCTAATACTACTAACAAAACAAAAATTGTTTAATTTGATAAGTTTTTTTTCAAATAAATAAAAAGATATTAATTATTATATATTTTGAATAATAATAATAATAATAATTTTTTTTCACTGTTTTGTTATCAAATAATTAAAAAAAAATATGAAATACGTGTCGTCGACAACAATAATAACCGATAATATAGTGGATATAATACCGACACCACCAACAACAACAACAACAAGGTTTAACAGTACATCATATATAAGCAATAATAATAATAATAATAATAACTACCTGAGCCATAGTAGAAGATATCGACGACCATCACCACCACCACCAACACCATCGCCAACACCATTGAGTTCAATGTCAGCTAAAATGTGTCTACTATTGGCTATTATATTGTCGGTGACCAGTATTGGCGAAAGTATCAGTATTATTGGCGGCGGCGGTAATAGTGGCGGCAGTGGTATAGTCGATGATGGGGGTATACCGTTGGTGATGATGGGGAGTACGGGTGCTGGTGGTGCAGGTGTTTTACCTCAACATCATCATCGTTCAGCAGCAGCCGTCATCGGCCGTCAATATGATGGTACAGCTGATGATCCCATAGCCAACGCAATCAATACAATAATAGCCAAACGTAGCCAATCATCGGCTGGTCATCATCAGCAGGTGAGAGGACAGTTGTGTGTCGTACTATACATACAGACAGATAGTCAGTCAACTATTTTTAAAAAAAAATATAACTTATTTTATTGTATGTGCAAAATATAAGAAAAATACTATTAATTTTGTTATTTTGAAATTCATTGATATATTTCTATATAAATCTGTATATTGAAGTATAAATTAATTTTATTTTTTGTTTCTCTCTCTCTTTCTCTCTTTCGTTCTCTCTTTCTTTCTTTCACTTCAACTCTATTGATGAACAATACTATTACTGTTTGAAATTCATTGATAGATAGCTATTTGATATATATATTTAAAGTATAAATTAATTTTATTTTCTCTATCAATTAACTCAATTGATGAACACAACCATTAAATTTGAATGTTGTGTTAATAGTAGTATTTTAATCATTAACACAAAAAAAAAATTACTACAAGTGTTTTGTATGTTGTTTTAACTCAAGTTATTTAGTTTCAGTTTTCTCTTTTTTTTATTTGTATTTTATATTATTTTTATTATCCTAATTGTAATGTTATTTTTATTTAACTAAAACAACACACACCAACACAAACAAACACACGCACACACATACATACATACACACCAACACACTAAACACACATACATACACACCAACACACACACATCAACACAGACACAACACACACACACACACACACACACACACACACACACACACACACACACTAAACACAAATACAAATACAAATACATACATACATACATACATAAACACCAACACAAATACATACATACTAGACACACATACATACACACCAAACACACACACATACATACATACATAAACACCAATACATATATACATACACACCAAACACACATACATACATAAACACCAACACATATATATATATACATGAATATTCTCAATAGTATTACTGTAAATATAATTGTCTGTTTGAATAATTGTATTGATTTAATAGTACAGTGAATTTAAGTGATCCCTATAGATTTTATTTAAGTTAACAATTGAAACTATATTTTTACTATTAGAAATGATACGTAAAAATAACAACATTAGGTTAACATATAAATAAATTTTTTATATACATTATAATGTATATATAAATATATATATGTCATCGAAATATAACTAAATAACTTTAAAATTTTCTGGAAATTTAATTATATTTTTTGTTGTTGTTGTTGTAATAAATTTTTCCATATAAACCAAATATAATAGTAATACTTAGAAAAATATTATTATTATTATATTTTGATACATTAAATATATTGTATACTATTTAATTATATAATATTAATTATTTGTTATGAATTTATATATATATTATATACTTTAAATAATACAGAGATATATCATATATCATATTAATATAATTTAATATACTATAATAGTTACTATTAATTAATTTTACTATAATTATAATAACAATATTACAGGTATATTATATTATATTATATTTTATATTTATATATATATAATATATAAACAATTTAATTTAATATATTACTTAATATAATTTTTTAAAAATATTTATAAACCGGTATATACTTAAAAAATAAACAAAACTTAAATAAAATTAGTTAAAACAATCTAAAAATCAATTTTCTCTAATAAATCAATAAATAGATTAACAAATAATAATATCTTTTTTTTTAAAAAAAAGATAACGTATATTTAGTATCATTTTTATTACACATATTATTATTACAATTTAGGAGATTTACAACTAAATCTCTCTCTCTCTCTCTCTCTCTCTCTCTCTCTCTCTCTCTCTCTCTCTCTCTCTCTCTCTCTCTCTCTCTCTCTCTCTCTCTCTGTATTTTACAAACTAAATTGAAATCTGATGACACTATTTGTAGGTGTTATATGTGTTTTCAATTACACATTGTTATAAAAATTTTACTATCATTTAGTTGTAGTATTGAAATATACTGTATATATATATTTAATTTATATTGAATTGTTTTTTTTAACCTAAGTTTATACAATACATCTACAAAATAAACTAATAATAATAATAATAATAATAATGTTGACGTGATATAACCTAACTAAAAGTGTAGGATTTAATTGTAATTATTTGTATTGAATTGTATTTATTTGAAAAGTCTATATTGTTTTTAACAATTAGAAAAATAAAAGTTTTCCGTAAACAAAGTCAAAGTAAACTTCCCATTGATTATATAATATATCTATTTTTAATCCTTATTTTTATTGAACAAAAAAATTTATTAATTACAGATTTAAATCCCAAAATAAGAAAACAGTTAATTAAATATTTATATATATATATATAACAAAAAATTATTGAAAATTAATTGACAATTTACAGTATATACTATATAATCAATAATAAACTAATCTAAATATATCAATATATTTTTATAGACATTTGAAATTTAAGTAAATTTTTTTTATTAAATCTTGTAAAATAAAAATTTATTACAAAAAAAATTAATAAAATATTTATATAGATCATAAATATTATACATTAAACATTGAATGGAAAAAATAAACTTTAAATTTTTTGATTATAAAATATTTAGATAAAATTTATTTTTGATTATATAACTATATTAACTATAATATTTATATAATTTATTATATATATATATATATATATTATAAAAAATTTACTTATAATACTTTTATATACAAAATTTTTTGAAATATTGCATATTTATTATATTCAAAATTATTTACAATCAAAAAATACTAGTGTATAATAAATATTAATTATTAATATAATGTTATTTATCAAAAATATTAGTTCAAAATAATAATCTAAACCATATTGTAATTTTGTTTTAAATGTCTATATATATATAAAAAAAATAATATTTATTTATTTTTTTCACTAAAATTTAATTAATGAAAAACGGTTTATTCATAAATTTCTGAGAAAGAGAGATAAAAACTATTATTTAATTTAATTTTTAAATAAAATAAATAAGATTTTTCAGAAAAGATTTGAAACATTATAGATATAAATAAAATTTTTGAAAAATTTTCTTTTTTTTGATTTGATTTGACTTTTGTTGAATCACATCATTAGGTATTACTTAAGTTTTCCTAATAGTCTATACAATACTAATAATAATAATACTAATAATAATAATAATAATAGTTTTCAGTATATTTAGTATCTCCTAAATCTGACTCTTATTTTCTAACCTTTATATATATATACAGTATATTCACTGTATGTATAAATAAACTGTTATTTCATTCAATTTATGTTACATAACAACAATAGAAAGTAAACTTTTTTTATTTATTTATATATATATATATAAAAAAATCAAATTTAATTCAATTCAAAATATTGTAAAATTTTTTTTAAATGTAGTTTAAAATGGTTTTATTTTTTTTCATTGCTGCTGTCATTATATTTTTAACTTTTATAATGTCAAACATATGATAAATATGTAAAATTAAAAAATATATTTATTTATATAGATTATAGATTATAAATAAAATTATATTTATATAATAGTGTGTGAATTTATAGTACAGGTATATATACTGTATATATATATATATATATAAATTATTATTTATGAAATATTGTTTTAGACTCAAAAAATTAATATTAAATATAAAAATTTTAATTATAATAGTCTAACATTTAATTATTTCTATTATTTAATGTGACAGAGAATTTAATTCATAAAAAACTATATATAAAAAAATTAATTATTTTTACGCCTAAACCACACACAATAACTACAGGAATAATAATAATAATAATCAGACAATTCATATGTAATATAATGATGAGCTATGGATTTGAATGTTAATGAAATTATATATATATATATATATATTTATATTTTCTATAAATAATTTAAATGAATGAACTATTATAAAAAAAATATATCATTGATATAAGTTTTTTTTGAAAAATGAATTAACATTTTCATTAAAAATTAATAATAATAATAATATTAATAGTATTTGATATGATATTATTAATTGAATACTAATTCAGTTAACTAATAATAAACTATTAATACATTATTACTACTACTACACTACTACTACTACTACTACTATTAAAATTATTATTATTATTATTATTAATAATAATTATATATTTAAGTATTGCATAACATTATAATCATCAAAACGTGTGATATTTTTAATACTATTAATATATAATATATATATGATATATATATATCTTATGTTTTATTATATCCCATATTTTTCTGACAATATTTATTATATATAACAATATTTTGATTAAATAAAATAATATATTTTTTTGTATGACCACCACTTGTACTTATATATTGTGTATATATATATTGTATTGTATATATATATATTGTATGTACAGTACATATGTATCAAACACTTATATAATATACGGTATGATATTATATGGTACTTATGGATACAAAAAAACATGTATAACACGTTTTTTGACACAATATTTATTTATATATTAATATTGACACTGTTTTTTGTGGTATATATATATTTATATATACTTATATATATATGTGTATGTATGTGTGTGTATGTGTTAAGTACATCCAATAATATTAAGCGCCTATTGTTATACAGTATATATATATATATATATAGCTACTAATAAAAATATGATATATATTGCAAATAAAAATACAATAAAAAATACTTAAAAAAAACAATATGATTACAATTTTCTTTAATAATAATTGTTTTAATAATAAGTTTTAATACTATTAATATAATAAATTTAAAAAAAAACAATAAAATTATTTTAGGCATTGCCTGAATGTATGGATGATAAGTCAGTGTGCGGTTACGTTCAACTCAATAATATGGGCATCAGTTGGCAACCGATATGCCGGTGCCGTGGAGGAGGACATGGAGGTAGTGGTGGTGGTGGTGGTGTCCAGTGCCCGATGATGTGGAATCCGATGGACGGCCGTACAATATCCCATGGCAATGATCAGTATAAGGTATGTCTACCTACCCTACCCCACCCCACCTCAACCCTACCCCACCACTAGAGTTGGCAAAATTAAAGAGAAATTTCTTGAAAGTTTCGAAATTAAAAATTTTTGTCTATGAGATACCAATTTAAAATTTTTGTTGTTGTTGTTTATATGTCAATAATTGTTAGCTTATATACTGTAATATAACATTTGAAATAATAAAAACTAAATAATAATATTAGTATTTAATTATTATTAAAAGTTTAAAAAAATAAATAAAATTATAATTAAATAACTATTTTAATTATATATATCTATATATACTGTATATACATGTATATATCATATATAGGAATATGCTATGATATTTGTAATATACACTATAGTGTAATCATAATAAGTTTCAATAATAATGTAAAATTTCCATTGAAAATAAAATCATATTCCATGAGAAATTTACCCATAAATTTCTATTTGTCCATAACTACAATACCAGCCCCACCCCACCCCCAAAAAAAATTTCAATAGATATTTGATAATAATAATTATTATGATTTATAACTACTATTATTAGTACTGCAATCGGGCACCTATACTCAAACACTGTGGCAAAGATGATATAGTCTATACAAGCTATTTGGAGACCAGTTATCTGACAATGGATATCAATGTTAATACCAATCATATACACTGTCAGTGTCCGGGCCATCATCTGTTTGTACGTAACGGTACAACATTTGACGACATTGACGACACTACAGCTATTATTGCCACACAATACCAGTGCAAAACCGTAAGTAAATTATTTTTAGTTTTGTTTTTAATTGTTTATTTAAAAAAATATATTTAGTTTTAAACAAATTATTATAAATTGTTTAATATTCATAAATATATAATTATGAATAATATATATATATATATATATATATATATATATATATATATTGCTATATATATTAAAATACATTATTATATTAAAACTATATATATATATATTTAATATAATGCTAATTAAATTTTAATTAATTTTTTGTTAATTATGTGTAAATATCTAAATAGCATTTAATATTAGAAAAAATGTTTTTTAATCATAAAATAAGTTTTTAATTGTCTATTTAAAAAAATAAATAAATAATAGTTAGTTTTAAACTAATTATAATAAATTGTTTAATATTCGTAAATATTATTATTATATATATATATAAATACAATATTATATTAAAACTATATATATATTTAATATAATGCTAAACAAATTAAAAATTATATAATAATTGAAAAAGATTAAGAAACAATTATTATTGAAGTTATATTTAAATAATAATATTTTTATGTGTTATTATTTTTGGTATTATTATTATTATTAGATTATTAGCTTATGTTTTTACACTTTAAAAATATTTTTATTATATAATATATTATCTCTAATATATATATATATATATATTTTGAAACACCACTCAAACAAATGTTATTTAAATCATATATATTTTGCAAACATAATCTTTGAAATCTTTTTAAGTATTATTATTGTATTATTGATATTAAATTTTTATTAGTAATTGTAAAAATTATACTAAATATTTTAAAAATGTTTAAAAATAATTTCATTATAAAAATTTTTATTTTATTTTTTCCCCTCTAACTCTCTAATACTTAAAAATATTTAGTTTTAAGGAAATAATAAAAAAAACAAATTAAATATATATTTTTAGAAATTTTTAAACTAAATATTTAACAACTTTATTGTTTTTGATTTATTACAAATTTTTAATACAATAATTGTTAACAAATATAGTAAAATATATGATATATTAATAAATCTATATAAATATTACATAAGTTATTGTGTAATATTTATTAATACTTTAATGAACATAATATTTTATAATTAATTTTATAGATGTAGGTATTTTTTGTACATTTAATTATTGAATCTATTGAATTAAAATTTATAATTAATAATAAATTTATTATTGATTATTGCATATATATATCAAAATTATTAGTTTTAATAATAATAACTATTTATATAATTTTAAAATAACATTTTCTAGTAGGTAGTAATTTTGATACCTTATTATACAATTGTAAAGTGTATAGTGTTTTATAATAATAATAATAATAATAAATATTATAATTTTTTGTTTGACTTATATTAGACAGTGATTGTGAATACATTATATTAATTAATGATTTTTTAAAAAAAAAATAATAATTAATTGTCAAATAATAGTTATAATCTTTTTCAATAATTTCTAATCCATGTTAATCTAAATGCATATTATTACTGATTATTATTTATTTAATTTTTTTACAAAAAAAAACTACATTTGTTTTTAAAAAATTTAAAATTTATTATATGAAAGATTTTTTTTTTAAATCTAAAATAAATTTTTTTAATGATGAATAATTTACATGAATAAAATTTTTTAATTATTAATATTATTTATCTACAAATATAATAGATAATTTAAAATTATTTATTATTTTTCTAGATAATTATTTTATGATAATTATGCTAGTTAATTAAACTAATAATTAGTTATTATAAATTTTTTTTCATGCTTACTAATTTTATAGTTTTAATTGTAATAATTTTTTAAAAAAGTAATTTAAATATTAGATAAAAATTTAAAACCTAATAGTATTAAATAAAAAATAAACACAATTTATTGTTAACCATATAATCATTATAATAGTTAAATCGATTGAATCCTATTATTATTATAATACATACAAAATAATTATAATAACATTTTTCAAATTAAATCTAATATAAATATCTTAATAATATCAATAGTGAGTCTATTAAAATGTTTTTAAATATATAAATATATTTTAAATATTGTGATATAAAATTGAAACTTTTATGTTATTGAATACTATTTACTGTATTATCAAAAAAAAAACTATTTTATTTCTACAAACATTTAATGTATATAAAATAAAGTAAATATTTTTTGTTTACTACAAGTGTTTGTATGTGTGTGGGTATACTACTGTATATAAACTAAAAGTACAATTTTTACATTTAAATTGAAAAAGTATATATACTGTAAATATATATATTTTTTGATATTATAAATTAAGTTATATATATGTGTATTTTATTATCTATTTAGATATAAAAAAAATAATTAATTACAAATTTAATTTACAATTAAATGCAAAAATAAATTTTATTTAATTAATTAATTTTGTTTGCTAAGTGGGTGTAAGTTTTAAATAAAAATTACAATTATTTAAGTAATAGTTTAAGTTATAAGTTATAATTACAATAGTTTTTTTTAATAAAAAATTTATAATTAAGAAAATTAATATTAAAAAATATGTTTTCAACATATATGACTATATTTATAAATTATATTAATTATAGTTTTAAAAAATTGATTGTTTTTTATATTAAAATGATAAGCATTTTTTTTAAATAAACATTTTTAGTTACAGTATTTTGTATTAAATAAAAATAATTTATAAAGATAAATTAAATTTTATTTAAATTTTTTAATTAAAAGATAATATTTTCTATTAATAGATAAATTAATTATATGTAATAAGAGATAAAAAAAATATTAAATAAAATATAAATGAGAAATAAGATTAATAAAATGTGCAATTAATTGTTAAATATAGCCACTGGTCATCAATTGCATACAGGTGCTTATAATATCAAATTTTAATATACAGTACATTATACCTAATTTATATATATATATATATACTATAAATATTAGATTTGTTAAATTTATTAATAATAATTATCATCCATCAATTATCATCATCCATTAACTATAATAAATTTTATTATACGATAATAATATAATTATTAATATTAATATGAGTATAATCATCTATTTAAAAAACGACCCGCGTTATTTGATATCCATAGACTATATTTACTAATTATAGATCATTATATTAATATATATATATATGAAATAATAGATATAATTTTATGAATTATTATTATTATTTATGATATCCAATGATATTATGTATTATGTTTTTTTTGAAAATAATTTTAATAAAATAATTGTTAATAAATATAGCAAAACATATGATAGAAAATTTATATAAATATTACATAAGTTATTGTGTAATATTAATACAGTATTTTAATGAACATAATATTTATAATTAATTTTTATATTATAGATGTAGTATTTTGTGCATTTAATTATTGAATCTATTGAATTAAAAATTATAATTAATAATAAATTTATTATTGATTACTGCATATATATATATATCAAAATTATTATTATTGATAATAACTATTTGTATAATTTTAAAATAACATTTTTTATTAGGTAGTAATTTTGAAACCTTATTATACAATTGTAAAGTGTAAAGTGTTTTATGATAATAATAATAATAATAATAAATATTATAATTTTTTGTTTAACTTATTGATTAGACAGTGACTGTGAATACATTATATTATAATTATGGTTTTTTAAAATAATAATAATTAATTGTCAAATAATAGTTATAATCTTTTTTTTAAAAAAAAATAATAATTTCTAATACATGTTAATCTAAATACATAATTATTATTAATTTTTTTAAAATTACTTTTGTTTTAAACAATTGAGATTTACAAAAAAAAATATTTATTAAATTTAAAATTTATTATATGAAAGATTTATTTTTTAAAAAAATCTAAAATACACTATTTTTTAATGATGAATAATTTACATGAACAAAATTTTTAATTATTAATGTTATTAATCTACAAAAAAAAATCATACAATAGATAATTAAAAAATTATTTATTTTGTTTCTAAATTCTATATTGAATTAAAAATTATAATTAATAATTAATTATTGATTACTGCATATATATATATCAAAATTAATAATAATAATAATAACTATTATTATAATTTTTTTAAAAAAACATTTTTTAGTAGATAGTAATTACCTTATTATAAGTACCTTATTATACAATTGTAAAGAGTTTTATGATAATAATAATAATAATAATAAATATTATAAGTTTTGTTTTATTTATATTAGACTTTTTTGTTTACTTTATTACTGCATATATATTTATCAAAATTATTAATAATAATAATAACTATTAAATATAAATTAAATTAAATATAAATTTTAAAAAATAACATTTTTTAGTTGGTAGTAATTTTGATACCTTATTATACAATTGTAAAGTGTATAGTGTTTTATGATAATAATAATAATAATGATAATAAATATTATAAATTTTGTTTTTAATTTATATTAGACTTTTTTTTGTTTACTTTATTACTGCATATATATATATATCAAAATTATTATTAATAATACTAACTATTAAATATAAATTTTAAAATAAACATTTTTTTTAAAATTAAAATTAATGTTAAATTTTTTTTTTTAATAATTTTTTCCACAATTACAGCCCCCGGTGTGCAGTCTAGCCGAAGCCTGTATGGGTATAACAGAGTCTCCTCACTCCCGGTTCGTTACCCGTAACTGTGTCTGTCCTTTGGGTACCTTTTGTCCAACTGATATACGACTGGCCGCCGAAAGGGTTGACCTGAATAGAGGCGCCTATTATATCATGAATTGTATCTAAAATAAAAATTATTTATAACAAAAATAATAATAATAATAATAATAAAATCAAATAAGAAAATTCATAGTAGTATTGAATTAATCTATAAATATTGAATATTGTCTCTAATATATTGTTTTTTTTATTTTAAATTTTGTTGTTGTTTTTTTTAATCATTTATAATTATTATTATTATTATTATATGATTGTATGATTGATATAATATATATAAAGTATAATACAGTATATATAATATAAAATCAATTAATAATAAAAAAAAACTTCAAGTAATTAATGATATATCCAATTACCTACCTATCTATCTATCTGTCTATTTATCTATTGTCTAAAAATACTACTTAACTATTGATATTTTAATTTAGTTATTAGCTATACTGACAGTTACGCAAAAGTTTAGTTTTCAGATTATATATATATATAACACCTACACATTGTGTCATAAACTTTATATTGAATATATATATATACAAACAGTTTCAATGATATTATTATTATTATTATTATATCAATATATATATATATATTCACAAACACATAACACACACACAAACACACACACCTTTCCTCTCAGTTTTATCAATACTATCATTATATATATATGTTAATATACCGTAAGTTATATATATATATACAGTACTATATTATAGTATAGTATTTTATAGTACATTCCCATATCATACCTAACTTTTAAAAATAAAAATATATAATATATAATGTCAAACAAATATAAAACACAATTATAGTTAAATATACTGTATTTATACAGTTTAATTAATGTACTGTAAATGTTATGTTTATTATTATTATTATCCTATTGGCTAAAAATGTAATAATATATTGTATCTATAAAAATTATTATTATTATTATTATTATTATTAAGTTTATAAATTTAAACTATTAAACTATATTATTGAATATTATATATTAAATATATATATATTAATATATAGCGAAAATGCGCACAGTGATATTATTATTATTTTTAATTTTTTAAATTTAAATTTTTATTATTATTAAAAAATTATTTAAATTACAAATCAAAATTAATTATTAATCATTACACACTATTATAATCTATAGATAAAATTTTTTTATTATAGTATAAATATTTATTATATTTTTCAATTTCAATTTGACAACATGTTTATTTATGAAAATAAATAAATAAAATAAAATTATTGACACCAAAAATAAAATAAAATTGCAAATTAAATGCAAATTTTCACATTAAATGAAAATTATGATAATTATTTTACAACAAAAAAATTTATTAATATTTTATTATTATATTGTAATACAAACTGTATATATAATATACAGTACACACACATACACACACAACCAATTGATTGTTGGAAAAAAAATTTAATTAATTATTATTGTATTTGTTTTTATTATTTAATTTTTTTTCATCAAAATATTTAAATAAATCTGAATTTTTGTCAATTGAATAAATTTCTATTTAAAAAAAATAATAATTTTGATTATGAATTAATATTATTAAATCTATTAACATATAAATATTATTATCTAATATTGTGTTAAAATATTAAATATTTTATTTTATTTTTTTTGTTAAACAAATCTATTACACACACAGTCAAAAAAATTTCAAAAAAACACAATAAATTTATATAAAAATTTAATACACTTAATAAATTTAAAAAAAAGTTTAATAAAAAAATTTTATTTAAAAACTACTGAAAATGTTAAATAAAATGAATAATTGTATAAATTTTATTTCAATAACAAAAAAAAACAATTGATTTATTAATTTAATTAATTTATTATTATTATTATATTTAAATAGATTAAAATCACAATTTTAATATAAACTGTTTAGATTATTAACAAAATAAAAATATTAATTTTTAAATTAATAAAAATTATTAAATGTGAAAAAACATTATTATTATTATTAATTCTTAATTTTTATAATCAAAAAATAAACAACAATTTTATTTATTTATTTATTTTTTGTGCGTAAATGACAAATACATTACTACTTTTTAAAAAATATTTTTTTTTTAAATCAAATTATATATTATAATATTTTTCAGACTATATAAAATAATAATATCTAACTGTCCTATAAATTTTCAATGTATTTATTAATTGCAAAATATAGTTTTTTTTGTACCTATATATATATATACGGTATATATCAAACTATCAATTACAGTAAGTATACTGATATTATTATATACATATATATATACCAATAAATATAGGAAAATCCTATATAGGAAATATCTGGTGTATTATAAATACCTGTCCTCAGTATGAAACTTACCAATAGTTTCATAGTTTTATATACATTATAAAAGCAATTTCAAACACATGAGGCCAATGGGTTTTGACTACAATTATCAACAATTTTTTAAAAATAATTATTTAAAATTTTATTATTTATTTGTTGTTAAGTGTTTCTAAAATATTTTAGTCTAAAAAAATAAATAAAATTTAAAATTATAAAAAAAAACAATAACTTATTTCATATTTTTGTTGTTTTTAATTTTTTTAAAATAACTTCATATTGTTTTATAGTAATAATAATAATAACTAAAAAAAATACTGTAAAGTTTTATAGCTTTATATTTATATTTATTATAATAAAAATAGATCTATATTTTCATCATTTTATATTTATATTATTATTATTATTATGACGGTATTATTATTACATAATATTATTATTTTTATTATTATTATTATTATTATTGATCATGAATTTTAAATTAACTTATAGTTTGTAATTATTATTAGGTTAGTAAGTATGTCAATATGCTATTACTATTTTTAATATTATAGTAGTATATGTATATACTTTATATATATACTAATATATATATATATATATATATATATATATATATATATATATATATTACTATATACTGTATATATATATATATATATATATATTACTATATACTGTATATATATATATATATATATATATATATTATTTTAATTGATGAAACTACTAGTTTCGACATAAATACCATATATTATATATATATATCACAGCAACAAACAATTTTAAGCAAATATATTAATTTACATTATATTACAATATTTTATTTATATATATACAGTATATGTCTATTATATATACAGTATATATATATAAGTTAATAGTCTGTATTGTGTTATCAAATACTGTTTTCAATTTTTATTATTATTATTATTATTATTGTTATCAAATCAAATCAAATAAATAGCCAATCAATTTATAATGAGATATATAAAACCCCATTTGAAAGATAATCTTATATTTTGATTGGAGGATTTAACTAAAAAAAATATATTTATATATATATATATATATATAGTGTATATATTTGATTTCAATATACAGTATTAGTTATATATATATACTGTATATATTGTTTTGTAAAACATTTTTCTCACTATTTTTATTATTATTATTAGTGATTTACACTTACATACAAAAAAAAAATTTCATACAAAATAAAAATGACTGTCAATCTATTAAATAGTTTAGTATTTATTTTTGTATACATTATTTACAGTAATAAATTTATTTCGACAATCAATTGTGACATTAATATATCATTTATATTAGACACTAGTAGTAGTGATAATAATAATAATAATGTAAATACATTTAATTTATCATATTTTGAACACTTGTTATCACTTAATAATGATAATAATAATAATAATAATATAAATCTCAATGTTTTAACAACAGTTGATAATAATATAACTAATAATAATAATAATAATAACGATTCTGTGTTAACATTACTTATAAATACTATAATTACTG